TTCTGCGTAGAAAAATGCTGGCAAGGCTAAGACCTAAGAACTGACAATCTCGGTGGTTAACAAGTAAGAAAATATGACTAAGGAATGACTAATGGTAACTACGAAATATGTGTACGTATTAAGAATTGAACGTGAAGTTATTCTTTTATTCAAGGTATCTGAAGTTTTAATGGAATATCTGAATGTCATCTTCCGCCGAGTTTATACATTTTTATATAATAACCGAATCTAGGTCGTACTGTACATCCAATTGTGATGTCAAAAGAATTATTTATTACACAGTTTGTACGTGGTGTACCTACTACTTTCAGCTGGATTTGTGTAATTTCGCAACAAGGAAAAAAAAAGACCGTGTTACAATGAAAAATGCAAAATAAAATGCTTTTCATTTTCAACAGTAGACCTGGCATAAGCTACTTGAAAGAATTTATTGCCAACTAAGAAGAAGCAGAAAGACTAATTAAAACTTGTCAGGAGGATTGTTAAGTATATACATACCATTCAGTGACGCGACAATTCATTCAGTAATGATATGATCTTTCGAAATTTAACTCGACAGATTTCCAACATCACTTGCATAAAATCACGAAAACACCCCACGAGGTAACGATGGGCGGAGGACAGTAATATCCACGTGCACACGTCGTCGAGCACACGAGGCGAGCAGGAAAGCAAATAAACGAACAAGTGAGAAAAGAAGGAAGAAAGAAATAAAGAAGAGGAGGCGGTTGGACAAGGCGCATCGCGTACGCGCGCGTAGCTCGTGTCCGGTCAGCCGTTAAGAAGGAAGCTTCAGGCCGATGTCGAAGATAAGACCGGGGACGTGTCCCTCTGTGCGTGGCATTCTCCCGGAGTAGTGGTACCGAAGTTCGGGGACCAACGAGTGTGCCGGGCCCTCACGTAATCCACGGATACGTCGCGACGAATTTGTACGTCTGCCCAATGAGCCAGAAGCCACCCTGCGTTAGCCTCGTTTCGCGTTCACCGTTCTTCTCCTCTTTTCGGACCGTTCCACTGTACGTCCTTCGCCCACTGGCTACATACATACTTATATATCCATATAAAATGGAATGTGTATATGTTTTTATATAGATATACATAATAGATACATATGTGTGTTTTTATATAGATATACATAATAGATATATATATATATATATATATATATATATATATATATATATATATATATATATATATATATATATATATATATATATATATATGCATATATAAAGAGAAGCCACGAAACTGGGAACCCTCTGCCTTCAAAATGGCTACCGTCTCCGCATCGGTGGACAGCCGATGTAAACTACAAGCGCTCCTTTCGAACACAAGCGCTCCCCTCGTCGATCGCGTCACCGGTTTTTTTCGATTTCTTCAAAGTGGCACATTTGCTTTTGAGGAGAGGACGTCGATAGATCCTGAGTACCGGACGACAGAAAGAGAAAGAGTGGTTCACTAGATCGATACGATCCATGGTTGGAGGAGTTGACGAAGAAAGAGACAGAGCTTTCGATCGACGTGACAGGTCGTATTTGGCACTAGAATTTGAGTTGGTCAGGCCTGTGTGATCGCGATTGGAAAAGTTTTGGAGTTAAAAATGATCTTGTCCTTTAAAATGTTTTTCTTATGGACGCAAATGCATCGAGAATAAGCTTCGAATAGTATCCTTTTTTTCTTTTTTTTATATATAATTCCTTAAACAGAAGAGTTTCTTCACTTTTAGAAATACTACTACTTCCTCTATTTCTATTGATTAACCAACTTCGTAGCTTCTGAGCGGAAAACAATTTCCAAACGGTTCCACGTATGTACAACACCCGCATGGAGCAACATCGAAATTCCAGGTACCATTGGCAGCACATCGTGCCGTCCACGAACGATTGGAAAATCTGTCTATCGTCAAGAGGGGGAGGGGGGGGGGCAGGAGGTAGAGGACGAGCTAGAATGAAATGGTTCGAAAAGGGGAGTGACGGAGAGGAGGAGTAGGGGATCGGCAAGAGAGGGAGAGAGAAAGGAGAGCACAGAGCTCGTGTTTCCGGCCGGGTGAACAACAATGCCCGCAGACAAATGAGCATCCCGCCTCCATTGTTCGCTTCATCGGCACGGCGCAGCCTCTCTCTCCCCTATTACCCACCCTGGTTCCGCTTGCGCCCCCCTTCTATCTTCTCCCCTCCTCGTCCCTTCTCTTTGTCTCCCCCCTTCATCCCGATGGTATGATCGAAGGTTCCACGTCCTCGTCATCGTCCTCGTCCTCGTTCTCGTTCACCTCATCGTCGTCATTGTCCTTTTCCTCATCGCCGTCGTCGTCGTCGTCGTCGTCGTCGTCGTTGTCGTTGTCGTCGTCGTCGTCGTTGTAGTATAGCCACAGCTGGGGGGTCCTCGATCAACCTGATGCGGGCCAACACCGATTAAACATCTCTGCTTCGTCGAATCTCCGTCAACGGAGGCCCTCACTGCACGTCCTCGTGGAGAGGTAGGATTCCCCCACGGTGCTACTCTCTTTTGTCTCCGGAGTTCCACCGTTGATTCTCCTCTATTTTTACCCTCATTGTCTCCTCCGTGTGCGCTCGATGAAAATAACGCACGATGCCGATGTCCGGATAGAGGCGGCGCGGATAGCCTCGTCGATAGTCTCCAACTTTTTGCTCCAACTTTCTATCTCTGTCTCGTTGTCGTTTCTCACTTTTTCTTCGTTCGTTTGTTACACATTTGCAAAGTCCACGAGTCATCAGTATTATTTATTTTACAACTTAATACTCTGGCATTTGCTCGGGATTTTGTTTTGCGGCATTAACAATTTCATGAATTCTCTTGCATTGTGGTAATTGATTTGTAATTTGTCAAATGTCTAATGTCATTAACTAGTAAATTGTTATACAAGAGAGAGGTTTGGTAATGTTTTTTCTTTTTTCTTTTTTCTTTTTTTTTTTTGTCTCCATTTACTTTCTCTTTTTGTTTTCTATTTATAGTTTATACAGTTTTTCTTCTTTTTCAGATAGTTTGATTGGTTGTTTTGTATCGTTGTTACGGATGTTTATTTGACTAGCGAGCAACGCTGCGTGTTGGATGCGGACACAGGAGCCAGGAGTTTGAATAAGTATCGGAGAAATTGATTTTTTCGTCTGCTTTTCAGTTTTTGTCGTTTCACTACTTTCTTTTTCCTTTTTCTTCTTTTCTAGCGCGAAGAGCTACGAGGTGTGAAGCTGTGAAGTATTTCATTTGCTTCTCTCTGGTTTTACCATTTGGTTCCAAGATTTGCTATCTCGCAGTTTTAAAACGTTTGAAGAACGTCTTTTTAATTTTGAAAGTTTGAAGAAGTTTTTAATTCTTCTCTGGCAGTTAAACCATTTGAATTGCAGTTACTTCGTGCATATCCATAATGTTAAAGATTAAACAAGAAATTTTCTCAATTTTGCAATGGATAAGTCAAGTATACGACAAAGAAAGAAGATCGATGAAAGGGGAAAAGTTAGAAGCTGAACGATGGTCAATGGTTTATTGAAGAGCGATGAGGCGTTTTATCGCGAAATTAATCGAGTACACCAGCTAACTTCTATTATTAGTTAGATAAAATCGAGAGATCGTTGTTGTTCAATCGAATAAGCGTGTTTATTAGACCGATGGGACTGGGATCGAACGATGCTATTTTACGCAAAAACACAACAGCATCTGGATAAATCGAATCGTATGAATGTAAATTAATTACGATTGTATTTTGATTAACATTACGATACAGTTTGAATAACAATGTGAAAATGAAAATGCCGCAACGAGATTCCCTTAATCAATTTGGTTATAATTTCCGTCCGTTCCCGGCTGTAACGGTATACACTGTGAAACCTTATTTAAACAATTAAAATAAGTCTGCCGCTAAAAATGATATCGTTATTCCAAGAGAATTCGCGCTGCATTAAAAAATTGCCACGCTGTTTCCGCATTTTTCAAACTTCATTTTACTTTTTGCTTCATTAGTATTTACCATCGTTCACGTGTTTTATCGTATAGATCACGCGAATTCAAGTCTGCGACTTGATGAAATAGTTAAACATCGAATAAGGATTAATTATCATTAACGAGAAAATTCAGTGGCTACATCATAATACTGCATGGTAATTAGCTACATACTAATTAAGTCCAAGTATATTAAATTTCACATCATTTAGGTAATACTCTCGTATACTTTTATATATTTTTATGCTTTTGTATATTTTATATATTTTTATACTTTTGTGTAGTATACTTTTATATTTATTATTTTTATACTTTTCTATAGTATACTTTTATATTTATTATTTTTATACTTTTCTATAGTATACTTTTATATTTATTATTTTTATACTTTTATATATATTTTATATATATTTTATATATATTTTATATATTTTTATATTTTTTTATAGCCATTACCATACTCACATATTCAAAAATTATTGTTGATTTCTTTCTTTAGGCTACTTTCGTAAATTATCGTTCGTGGTTAAATTATCTCTTGGTAGAAAATTTTGGATGCGCGATAAACTGACAATAAGAAGGTAACGCGAGAGACTCGGAGGGCCAGATGTTGTGCAAGGATTCAGCATCCTCGAGTCCATTCATGGCTCCTGTAGGAGAACACCTTACTCGAATCGAGCAACGTCGACCTCCTGTACCACAGAAATTCGATACTGCTCGAAACCTCGGCTCGCGTGTAATATCGTGCTCATATATATTCTATCTTGTTCCAATTTTCAAATCTTGTCGGACAGCCAGAAACAAAATTGTCTGCATAACTGATGTATTATCGATATTGCAATTTAGGTATTTTCACACTTTGCATATGATAATTAATTTAAATCATTGGCGTTGAAAATGAAAGCGTGTATCGACAGTTTGATTTTCTTCTCACTAGAGTGTGAATGTTAAAAATAATATCTATGTTAAAGGAACACTTGTGTGCATTGATTATGTTTGATGGAACGTATAAATTTGATTGACAACGAATAAAAATTTATTTCTTATGTTAATGCGGTTTTTATCTTATTATTTGATTTTTTGTCAAAAGCTTTCATGTCATTTAATAACTCATCGTATGACTCTTCCAATGTGCTAGAAGATTCCGGATTCCTGTTTAAAATAGATAAAGAGATAATAATTTTTTATTTTAATTAGACTTGTTTGTTAGTCTCTGCTTACGTGTAATTGTCATGATAGTAACAAAGTTTAGACTTTTCAACCGCTGCAAGTGCTACTTTGTCTAAGCCGCGCTCTTTAAAGACATTCAACTGATCGTGCCACTTTCTTTCACATTTAAAAGATTCTCGATCTTCTTTCTTCGTCAATTTTTTATCTACAAATTTTTATTGAATTACATACTTTCAAAATCATGTTGGAGAATTTTGATGAAATATATATTGAAAATTAAAATATATGTACTTAATTTATTACGTCTATAAAGATTTTCCATTTGCAAACATGATTGTACCTGATAATTTTCTGTAAGGTTCAAGAGGCTTCATTTCTGCCATAAACTTCCAAAACTCCTTCACTTTAATTTCCTGACTTTGACTTATACTTTTATCAAATATCAGTTCTATGCAGATCTTCGTACTTTCTGTCATGTTTAAAAATTCCGCCAATTTTTCTCATATGCAAATACGTCATTTCCTCTTGGAAAATATCACTAGTTTGATATTGAGGACATGTGAATGGGATGTCTAGTGACATTTAATGTTACCCTTGCGACTAAGTCGATAATATAAACTCGTAACCAAAAATACTAAATTTTCATGCTCAAATATTCTTTGGAGATCAAATCCAAATATTCTTCAAGACACGTAATATTATATCGAATATTTTAACAATAACTTTTCAAATACCACATTGACAACGAGCAACGTCACCGTGCGATGGTAAAACAGAGCGAGAGCGGCAGCTTTTAAAAAAATTTAGTTTCGACATTCCGTGAATAAAGGCACATCCTTGAGAAATTTCGTTAGTAGAAGATTCCAATCGACAAGGAGGTGATAAACAGAGACACTTGGGTGAAGTGCGATGGGGCGTGTGGGCGGAGTTGCGCGTGGGTTGAAAAATTAAGGGAAAAGGAAAAATAAGTTAACGAGCGCGGAGTGCGATGATGTCATTGCCCCGACAGGTTATGAGCAGTGCGCGCCGTGGATGTCAAGATGGCTGCCACGTACATCTGATCGGAGGTTTGTGCGCTCGGGGGATTTGACGCCGAACTGTGATAAAAGGGGCTGTCTTTCTCGTGTTGCTGACATGGTGACAGTACGAAGTTAGTCGGCCTGTATCCATGAGCACCACTTTGTACACCCTCGATGATAGTTTTTGTCGTCGCGGCCGCCGGCGGCTCGCATTGAACCATGTTCAGCAAAAAACTTCACGTAGACGTCAAAAAGTCAACACTGAAGATTCAGGATGTTAAGAAGGACAGCGCAACTCGGTTCAAGCATCTTAAGATCGTACTAGGTGAGCAAACGTTTCGTTCCCACCCTGTTCGTTAATCCTTATTGTTCTGTGAAATCGGCTAACGTTGACTCGTCATGAAAATTAATCACAAACGAGGGATTTTACAGTTGCCAGTTAATGTATACGACGATAGTTAAAGGAGAGGGGCGGCAATTTTGTTAGTATTTGCCGCCTACACGCCAGCATCAAGACGGTTTTAATGTTGTCGTAGAACTCGTGGAATTTTACGCCAGACGATTTTTCAATTTTACAGATCTTCTGTTACCAACGCTAGTGTATTAAGATTTTTGCATTTAGTTTCCTACTTATGCGATTTGTTGTTTTTTTTTTAATTTTGCGTACACTGTAAAAAATTGGATAGTCAATTTTTTAATAATTATTGATTATTATTTGTTTCTTATTGTTTATTTCAAATATCATTGAATGTCATAACAGGTCTTCTTTTTTTTTAAAAGAGAATAATTTTTCTTGTACTCAATTGTAATGTGATGGTATAGTGTTAAGTAGTAGTATCTAATCACCAAACCGCATGACCACAGTAATCAACCTACCGTGGCCTCCAATTTCAGCTAATGTTACATTATTATTATTATCATACATAGATAATACTGTATGCTTAAATGTCCAATATCAATCAATAAAAAATTCTACAAGTTATTTGTAAGATAAAACATTATTGAGAATACTTAAATGATTGTTATAAAATTTCTATTTTCATATCAAGCACAATGTTATCATTATTGCACTTATGTTGTCCTAGAAATAAATATTTATTTCAACTTGAAGAAATGTAAATGCTTTCTGTTATTTTCATACAATTTATGCATTTTTATGTATTATAATTTTATGTAAATATAGTAAATTTATGTAATATATTATAATAATAATTATATGTAAGATAAAAGTTCTACTACATAAGTGCAAGATTAGTAGTGATATGCATAATAGGTTTCCCTATAAAGCAAATTTTCTTGTGAAAGTAATTGTGATCTCTGATCTTTAGCTACAACAATTATTTGTTAATTAGAGTTGAGATAATTTAAGTTAGTAATACCAAATAATTTTTTAATATATTAAAAAATTATGGTATTTTATAGAAAATGTGGACACTGATGAAGCAAAGGGGTTTTTTGAGGGCAACTTCAGTCATGTCTATTTTATTCTATATGATTGTTTTGTGTCAGCTGAAACAAATTTGCGACAACGAGGTAAAAATATTAGCTGTTCTACATATATTATATTCATATATTAACAATACATATTGTAAATGCTTTGCATCATAATACAGTTATGATTGCAATTTTTGTTAACCATATAGTAATTATAGAACTGCAATTATATTAACATTATAATTATATATATTTGTAAAATGCTATTATTTTACTACTTATTTGTTTCTCTATTTTGCTGCCAGAACTTTCCTTCCACATTGGTGAGTAATAGACAGATGATAGAGCGTATATTCCTTGCATGTTGCAGTTTGAGTTCCATTAATCTGATCATTACAATCTGATCTTATATACAAGTATCATATCATTATAATATTGATATATACACAAAAGTTCTATATCGATGTCTTTTTTTAAATTTTTTTCCTTTGTTCATGAAATATTAAATGTTACATGACTAAATATTATATATTTCGTTTATAGTGCATAAAGCACATAGGGAGGAGTTGGAGCAGGTATTACAACTCTTGGAAAAGGTTTTAACACTTCTCCCTGAACTTCTTAATAGAAGGTGGCAATGTCATAGTCTAGCAAGGATTTTGCAAAAGCTTTTACATCCTGGTAATAGTTGGAAACTCAGAAGAGAAGCTATAAGGTATGTACATATAGTTAGTGATGTTATTACATAAAAAAGTTCACGTTTATGTAATGTATACTAAATTAATTGTAGATACTTTATTTTATGGTACCAAGCACTTGGTGAAAATGCTCCTGATCACATTCATCAAATGTTTGCAAGCTTAATACCAGGGTTTCCGCCTCAACAACCATCTCCTTATAAGTCTGAACGTAAGATAGATGGAAAAAAAGATAAACTTGTCAAAGTTATTGGTTGTGATGATAAAGATAAGAAGGAATTTTATGATACGCAATTGTCACAAAGTACTTTTCATGACAATGGTTCATACCAGTGTCCTGTCACTCCAATTGATAGTGGACCTATTTTACCCCCACAAAGTGGGGAAAAGCCTCTTGATAATGAGACTGTTCGATTTTTAGAAGCATTACTTGAATTTATGGTTACTCAGGTATATTTATATATCTTGAAGTAATGTAATTTGATATTACTAAAAACTATACTAAAAAGACTGCTATCTAATTTGTTTGTAGGTTGTAAAGATAGAATGGAGAGATAAATCTTCGCGACAGCACAAAACTTTTCAATTTTTATTAGAACGTTTTAAGGCTACGTATCTTCGTCATATTTGTCCCGAGTTTGACGAGAATTTTTCGTTATACAAACCGAATTTAGAATTGCCTACGATGCGTAAACCAACGAATCAGAGTCAGGATAATTATGTATTGTGTAAAGTTGCTTTAATTAAGTGGATCGCTGGTTTTACCCATATCGCTAGAAAAGATGTTCGTGTCGCAAACCTTTCACATAGGTATTTTTATGCTAGTAGTATTTTATGAACATTACAATAATCTTACAAAAATTATGATTAACAATTTTCTATTTCAGCACAACTCCAAATGAAGAAAATACAGAATCAGAACTTCGTCGAGTTTCAGTCACTCAGAATAGCGCTGACTCAACTTTATTATCTCCTGAATCAACTGTGTCTCAGCAAGAGAATCAAAATCAGGAAGATAGTACTGTTTCAGCAGTTACTCTCGTTAGGGAAGTTCTGTACAGTAACAGGGATAATGTGAATTTTGTGCATGAATTGTATAGACAAGCATTTTTGTTAGACTTTAATCATGCTGGTGCTATAAGGAAAGCTATAGCTGTTTATAAAGATTGGATTCAAATGAATGTGAGACTTTTGTTCATAATTTCTTAACACTATAATGACGATGTTTACTTATTTTTTGCATTTTTTGCAATTAGGAATTACCACCATTCATGTTAGAACCATTGGATTGTCATAAAGAAAGAGATTTTGAGGAAAATTCGAGAAAAGATCTCGCCGACATTGATAAAAGCCCTTCGGAGAGCTATCGTCAAACAAGATTAAGAAATGATTCTTACCTTGGTGCTATACACAGAGAAAATTTATTTATAAGAGCGGGGCTACAAAATGTTTTACAAGTGTTCATTACGCAAGCTTCTAACGTTTTCTTCTTGGAGAATTCTGGACCGAATGCATCTTTGACATTGCTAGAAGAACAGACTGATAGTTGCAAAAGAGTTCTGAACGTGTATCGATACGTTGTAATGAATTCTCGATTAGAACCGGGTACTTGGGAACAGTTACTTAGGTAAATATTTTTCCTTTCAAATGTCAAAATTTTATTTAATAAACTTGTAATATTAATTTCATTATATATTTATTAGAGTATTATTACAAATAACATCGCTTGTTTTAAATGAGAAATCGTCTCGACGTAAGATTCAAGAAAGCATTGGTGGTAAACTTGCCCCTGCCATATTTCAAACTTTGATCGTTACGTGGATTAAAGCCAATTTAAATGTTGTTATTTCTACGCAATTATGGGATCAGTTTCTAGAAGTATTGACATCCTTAACACAGTGGGAAGAGCTAATTCGAGAATGGGCTGTAAGCAAAGTTGAAAATCATCTTTCTCATTTATCTTATTATGTTTTACGAGAAATTTAATGTTCATATTATCCAATATTTTATTATTTTATAGAAAACATTAGATACTTTAACAAGGGTGCTTGCCAGGCATGTGTATAACTTGGATTTAAACGATTTACCATTGGACAGATTGAGTGAACAAAAAACTAAAAAGCGTCGTGGTGTTGGAAGCCGAGCTGCTTCCACGGGAAGTGTTCAACCACCGCGCAAAGGGAGCGTTGATCAAGATAATAACACCGTGTCTAAAGAAAATGTTTCAGGTAGGAAATGATTCTTCGTGTGATTTCTTATCTAAAATTTTTAATTTATCATTTCAAAAAAAATTAGATATGTATTGTTAATAGATCATCCGATGCGAGATTTAAGAAAGATACGACCACTTCCTCGTAGCGCAAGCGATAACAATATTTATAATGGAAAAGCACGTACTAAGCTTCATAGGAATCGTACACACACTGTACACAGTGGTATTCCTGGTAAGTAGCCTACCAAACATCAAGGACTTTTTTCTTATAGTAAAAATTTTGATAATAATATATCGCATTTGGTAGTGCCATCTATGTTGCTGATAATGCGTGCAATTTATTTATAACTTTGTCTCTTACTTTTTTGCTTTGTCGCCTGACACTGGTTTAAAAATAACTAGTTTGGCGTTGGCCAGACACTCGTCTCACTTCATACATCATTTTTTTTATTCCTTTGTTACATTTCTCATTTGCAGTATCCTTTCTCATTCGTGCTTTCTTCTAATTTTAAACGATAAGGAGTTATACGGAATTGATATCTGGTATTAAATAATTCTCATAGTGGTTGTGGCTTATTTGTGTATTAAGTGTAAACAAATTTCCACACGCGCAGTACTCCCCCTATCGATAGAGCAAGATATGGCGCGGCTACTGTCAAATGGTATTACTTCATCGTCGGCAACTGGTCGAAAAATGTTACCGAACAGACGTGCTAAGTCTTTGGATAGCATTGTAATAGTCGATAGCGAACCACCGTCGCCACGTTGTCCATCTCCAACACCGAGCAGCGGAGTCGACAGCAACAAAGACAGTCCAATACAAATAGAGAACATTGATGGCAGTAGTATCGGTAAGTATATCGTTTGCCGCTATTTAACATCTGCATCGGGATATGAAAACATCATTTTTTAATTGCATAACAACGTGTGATCATTCTTATGATATTAAATTGTTTTTTTATTTTATTTTTTTTTTTCTTTCTTTGCATAGAAAATCATAAATATAGAACTAACAGTGGAATATTTTATTATGATATTAATAATAATAATAATAATAATGCATTGTTTCATCCAATATGCTTTGCTTTCTTTTTTTGTAAATTAACGAAACTATATATAGGAGAAACACCTTCTATTTATAAGATAGAACTTGTTGAATATATAAGATAAATACCTTTGGAGTAAATTTAGTAGCGGCATTGCATATTTCCTTTATGTTTCCAATGCGTTTTTATTTGGTTACTAATAAGTTCCTTTGAGTTCTGTTTGAAATCGATAAAAAAGCCTTTTAAAAGTGCTGTGATTTTGTTAAGTGATTATAGTATTTATTTCATACAGTTCTGCGACTGCGAATATTTATAATAATTTTGTGATTCTGTTATCAATTTGCAGACACGAATGATGCTTCCGAGAGAAGATCTGTTATGGCTGGTGGTGGAGTTCGTGGATGGTTACCCGACGTTGCTGTCGTATTATGGCGTCGTATGCTATCGGCATTAGGGGATGTAAATAATATTCAAGACCCTACTCTTCATGGACAAGTGATGGATTATCTTGTTCAACTTACACAAACACTTATAAAAGTATGATGTTTCGTATTTCGTTATGCTCTTAATAGTGTATTTTATATTACATTGTTACATGTTTTCATTTATATTTAGATTCGCTTGAACCAGGGTGTGTCTGGTGACAATCAGGCAACTCCTCCAGCTCCAGAACTTATACCTCCATTGACAGTCATTGCCCCATGGTGTTTCAAGGTTAATGTTAATTTATTATCTTGATAATATTTAGCACTATTGTTACTAATATAATTGTACTTCTAGGCGATACAACTTCCTAGTCAATATGAAGTTGGTAAATTGGCAGCATACCGTTTGATCTGCCTTTTGACAGTTCAACCACAAGATATTAACTTACCGAAACAACATTTGACTCTTTTTTATCGCGCGGTTCATAATGGTATCGTTAGTAACGATTGCAAGGTATTACACGTACTGGTCAAATATACCGGTCCTAGGTTGTTCAGTTTGAATCTTCCTGGATCTAGCCTTTTGATCTTAGATTACATCCATGCTGCTAATGTAATATTGAGCAGTCAAGACATTGAGGTATTAGAAAAATTTCATGATGATTTTAATAACACTATGCAGTTTTTATTAAATTATTAATTACGAATTAAATTATAAATTATAGGCACCAAGAACTGAAGCTGTCTCGATAATTGGGTCATTACTGTCTTTACCAACTACCCCAGTTAAATTACCCGTATTGCAGCCTACCGCGGCCGATATCGTAACTATGACATGTCCAGATGCAAAGGTATCAAAATGCAATAGTTATTTATTTGACACAAGTTTATCGAAAATATCCTGAGTCAGATATTATTTTGTTCTAGGAACATATAATTACGATACTTTTGAGAAGTTGTAGACGAGAACCAACCGGTATTGCAAGATGTACAGCTCTCTCGAGCATTGCTATGTTTGTATACAGGGAATTGTGTTATAAAAATCAACATCCAAGAATTCCAGAAGCTGTTACGGTTCTTCTTTTAGCGCTTAAAGTAAGTCTATTGAGTTCAATGTGGGTCGATGGTTTCAGATAAAAAAATAATTTGTTAATGTGTTAATTTTCTCTGACGTGTCAGATAGTTTGCATGCTACAAAATATACGTAACTATCTGATAGCTGTTTAATATTTTTTTTCTTTTACCTGGGTTATATTTTTTAGTTAAGTAATAAACACAGTGTAACGTAGTAGATATATAATAATAGTAGTGAGAAATTCAGTGTCTCTTCCACTAAGTCTGATTGACAGCGGATGCAAGGGGCAGGGCGTCGCAGAGCTGGTTTCTGTTATCCACTAATGGATCAGGTAGTTTTTCTTAGATCAACTAACTTTTGTGGACTCCTCCGCATTATGTGTTGTTGCAGTATTTACCTGTTTACTGATGTCTTCGTATCTGTTTAAGGGTGTCATCGGCATTGCATGGTGTATTGCACGATTGTGTGTGTAAAATGTCTAATCATATTTCTATGTTTTTAATCTTAATATATCTTACATGTTACAGTGGTTCATAAATATACATCGAATTTTTTGCTCCCATTTTTCTTCAAAATCTTTCAGTTCGTATATCTTTGAATCTTTAAGAAAGATTACATCAATTTGGGGATGGGGTGTTAACATCAAAGAACTATTCTGTTATACATATATGTTAATAATTAACAATTCTTTATAATGCTATCCCTATAAAGTTAATTAATATGAAATCGTAAAAAAAAAGATTAGAGAACAAAATATAAATGTGATATTTTAATTAACAATTCTTGTTTCTTATTCTGTAGGCCAATCATGCCACTGTTGCTCAAGTGGCATGTGACTCTCTTTTATTGTTATGTGATAAAGCAGACACCCTGTTAGAGCTGTATCCAAATGTGCCATGTAAAATAATTCAAGTAAGTCTTGTTCACGTCTCCAAGCTATTTTGAAACTTAGTCGATAATATAAATTAATTAATGATATTACAATTGATTTATGTGCATATTTTAGATTTTATCAGAAACACTTGGATATATGAGCACACGAGAAAGACGCGGTCCTTTGACTATATCAATGTTATTCTGCTTGGGCGAGTGGGCTATGCATCTGGGTCCATCTTTTCTATTACGCATTTTCCAAGGAAAACCTCTGTTAATGATATTATTTACAGTCAGTAACATAATTAAGTATTTCTTTCATATGTATGTGAACTTAAATGTTCACGTAATATCAAAAATATTACAGGTTTTGGATAACATAGTACAAGATAAAATCGATACGGATGTGTCGCAAGCGAATAGAAATCATGAGGATGAAGATGATGATTTTGATCCTGATATTACATTAGATAATTTAGCTGACGAAGTTTGTGCGAAATCACCTCGTCGAGGCAATATTCATTCTGTTCAGTTAGCAGCAAAAATGGTAGGGTATTATTGGCGTGTTTTCACTTACAAACATAAAATTAAATTTCTCTCTCTCTTTTTCTTTTTAGGTAATGATGCATTTAATAAATCATTTGGGACATTTTCCAATGGGTATCGGAGCCGCGCGATTATCTTCGTTAGTTGTCGAATTGGATGATGTACCGGGAATCGATGGAGATGAATTATCTTCTGCAATCTTTCATGCACCAAATATACAATTGTTAATGTTATCAAATTCTGTAATAATGTCGCTTGTTGAATTGGCAGCATTAGATGCGCCTGGTGGAGGCGTTACAGCTGGATTAACAACAGCACCATCGTTAGTTAGAGTGTTACTGCGAGATTTAGCAGGAAAAGCTTCATGGGATAGCTCTATTTTATACAGTCAACCGTTTGTTGAAGACGACGTGCCGATTGCATTTACAAAACACGGTATAACAAAGTTATTCATTAATATTTCGATTTTCTTATATTAAATATTTTTCACTCATAATAATCATTAATGATTTTAGTTGAGTGGAAAACAAAAGGGCATGGAGAAGATTTGTGCAGCGTTACAACGTCTCAAACGTGTACGCCTCGACATACGATAAGGCATCGTGAGCCACATATATTGCCTACGTTTGCGAATGCCGCAAGTGATATGGACAATTTAGACGATGTAATACATCGGCATTTAAAAATATTAATGTGTATTATTAATAGCCATTTTATATATTAACTTTATATTTTTGTTTCTAGCTCTTACAATACATAGGACATACCAGCCCGGAAGTATTAACCAATCCAGAAATAGCACTTAATGCGCCTGCTAATCCACCACAAGGACATTATCTTGAAAGTGAAACCATTGCCACAATTCTTAGCCAGAGAAACGCTGAACAAGAGCATATCAACAATTGGAATCAGCACATTAGGTATACTATATGGAAAGATGTAATGTTAAACCTATTTACATCGTCGGAATATTTTCAGCATGTGTGCATCAGCAATAAGCCCACCATCGTGTCGTCCACCTCCAGCACCGTTTCATCACTGCCGTCTTTTGTTTTCGCACTTGGGTTTATCTGGTTGGGAACAACGTAGAAAACTGCATTTATTATCCAAAAACGAAAAGCTTCTACGCGAATTACGAAATCTCGATAGTCAACGATCCAGAGAAACGCATAAAATAGCAGTGATTTATGTTAGCCAGGGACAAGAGGACAAGAACTCCATATTGAGTAACGTCACTGCTAGCAAAGAATACGAAAGCTTTATTGCTAGATTAGCTTGGGAGGTTGAACTTGAATCGCATACAGGTTTTCTCGGAGGTCTTGTACCTGGAAAAGCATCCGGTGTTACAGCACCATATTTTGCAACGTCTTTCACTGAAATCCTTTTTCATGTAGCAACACGAATGCCTTCTGATAGTCCCGAAAGTTTGTTGCAAAAAGTAAGTAATGGTTACTCAAGGAAAGCGCATTAGAGTAAAAAGTTTAAAGTAAAATTACTTATTTCAGACACGACATCTCGGTAATGATGAGATTCACATAGTTTGGTCCGAACATTGGAGAGATTATCGTCGGGATATTATACCAACTGAATTTTGCGATGTTTTAATAGTGATTTACCCATTGCACAATAAATTGTACAGAATTCAAATTTCTCGAAAACCAGAAATTCCATTTTTTGGTCCTCTATTCGATGAGTGTGTCGTTGAAGATAAAGTTTTACCTGGGCTAGTAAGAACAACAGCATTGGCGGCAAGTAGGGCAAAACGGTCTACACTTACATTGTATCAGCATTAGTAAGCGTGCCATTTTGATTACCTCTATTTAATATTTATACTTTTCTTTTTTTATTAATATGAAATATTTTAGTTATGAAGAGAGAGCGAGGTCTATCGATACTGTCATGAGAAATCACAAAGAAGCCACTACATTTGAAGAATTTACAGCTAATGTATATTCACCAGTACAGCCACAAAGTCCATTTAGTGGGGCTTCTTCGGTATCTGGTTAGTTTGCATTTGATAGTAAGAAAAGAACAGAATTTTATTTTTGCCATAGAAATTCTTTGATTTAGAAATAGTTACAGTTGCGTATAATTTTTGTTTTTATGGCAATCACAAAATAAATTATTTTCGTTCATTTCGCATAGAAGCTGTGAACATTGAACACTTTTTAATAGACTTTGTATAAATTTAGATATCTATTATTGTTATCATTATTATTATTATTGTTATTATTATCAATATCACACTATCAGGATCTACAACAAGCGTGCAATCCACAGCATCGTCAAACCTTGCAGCGGCGCTTATAGATTCACATCAGGGTCGATCCGGTCTGCGAAGTTCTTCGGCAGCAAGCAGTGATAATCGCGCGAATAGAGGTGACTAATCCACTAACCCCCACCCACCTTGTAACACCATCCAACAAGGTAGTATTATAATTTATTTATTTTTTCTTTGCTGTTTTTCCAATGTTTTTTTTCGTCTCTGTAAAGTGTATCTTGTTTAATTCTGGTTTGACAGATTACCTAGTAGTGAATTTATGTTATAATATGTTTATAATTATGTAAACTTGTATACCATTTTTATGTTTCATTCAATGAACTCCAATCTATTTTTATTTAAAGGAATAACGATAAATTTATATACACTTTTATGATTTATAATGACATTACACATCTTGTTAATATTTACAAAAAAAGTGTATATATATACATATACATACATACACATAATCTTTCTATTAAAAAAACAAGGCTGAAGATAAATATATTCCAATTATTATTTATTTAATATCCACATCTCTTAACTATATTTTTGTTTAACAGTCTTACACAATCTATTCAGAGGTAAAATTTCCTTTTTACATGCATATTAGTCATAGCTCAAAACATACTTTGATTCATTTTTGTCATATTACATGTGTCATTTAATAATGATGCTTTATAGATTGAAAATACAATACTATGCATGTGTATTTTTCTAAATGACAAGTAACAGATTTAAATCTTTTTCTATTTGAAAATTTTGAATATCAATAAATATAAATTTATAAAAGCATCAGTTATTGGAGGTAGTCTTTTAATAAGATAATATATGCATAGCATTGTACATTGCAAGTAGCTTTCTGCAAGTCGTATATTTGTAAATAAGTATGCCTATTTATAAATGTAGGCATTCATGTTTTCATTACAACTAAAAAATTAAATGGTGAACATTTCACTTTATAAAATATAACGCGAACAAATGAAACACTTAAATTTTTTTAGCCTGCTTATTTCATTTTATGAAATTTTGTTTATATATATAGAGAGAAAATAAAAGTAGAGATTCTTTGCATAATTTTAATATTCCATATGCATAAATAGTATAGGCTAATTTTTAATTTTATTTTATTTTATTTTTTTTTTCTTTAGCAAGTTGCACATTAATTCTTGCCATTGATATATCTGCATATGACGATGACTGTCATTGCAATTATTATATTACATATAATTATATCCTACATGGCTTCTAATTACAAGTACACAACTCCAAATGAAAACAATTTTCATCGATTTTATTTTCAGTTTCTGACGGAAGCAGAGTATGGTTTAGTAATGATACTCCAGACAGTACCGCGCTTCATGGAATATCTCCCAGACCCGTAAAAAAGATGTCGTTTAAAACTGGACCGAAACAGAGAGCGAACACTCAACCCACACCTCCAGATAGTCCGAGATACAAATAAGGAGTTTTGTACTAGTATCATAAAGAAAAGAACATTTTTTGCACAAATGGTCGTTTGGGCATGTATCCTAAATATTGTAATCTAAAAGGATTCTTTAAAATGCTATGTGTTACAATAACATGAAAAGGCTAGCCCACAGTTTTTGTGCATTGAAAAGGAGTAAATGCATAAGCGACGCAGTGATAGACTCACCATCTTTAAACAGAAGGAAGAATTCTTAAACAGTGGGCGCCGAACATCCGATTAGTCTTAGCGTTTTCTGTTTTCCGTCCTTAGGTTTAATTTTTATATTAAATGTACAGATCGTTGTTTATTTGTTGCAACGTGAATATTAATTTATTGGAACGTAATTATACGAAAGGATATAACGGATCATAGGTAATACAATAGCAACTAGATATTTGTTACGTACACTAATTAGTGTCAAATGACAGCTATTTTCATTGTACAGTACTTCCTTAAGATCAGTTTATCCGTGTACTTGAATAGATAAGCTTGAATAATTAATATCGATTAAAAGCTTCTATTTGAATTTATCTTGAGAAGATAAGACGAGCTCTTCGATGTTATATATATACATATACATGCCTTCATAAAATTATTTTATTTCTTGTAATGTAGTAAGATGATGAAAAAATGAGCGAACATTACCATATAATCACAGAATGCGTCTATGTAAGTGTTGAAATAAGAATCAAATGTTATTTTTTAACGACAAAGTTTTACGAATTAACGTCACGTCTGTTAGGTACTGTAATAAGTTATATAACTTCATCCGATCTCGGATTGACATGTTTGAATGATCGAGTAGTAATAATTTAATATGGTCATTTAAAAAAAAAATTTGTTTACGCGTTACATTCCATACAAACCGTCTTTTTTTGTATGCTATTCATTGTCCACGATTTGAGTGAAATTTTGAATATATTTCCATGGATGGTTTAAAGCATTCCATATACGTTTTGTATAATCAAGTTTAATAACTGGAGTTCTCTGGAAACAAACGTCAAACAGAAGTAAGAGAATCGTTTACGATGGCATACATTATGCAGGATGAAAGTTCAATTGAAAAACAATTTTTGTTGTTATACCATAGGTACACATAACTTGGTGCTTTACAATACGTAAAATAGAGATATTTTAAATACTGTATCAAAACGTGTTATTTCTGAATAACGATGACGAAATTGAAAAGAGAAGAATATTAAAAAAAAAAAGAAAAAGAAAGATAAAGGAAGAGAGAAACGAAACTAAACGAGATTGAGAAAAGTGAGACTTGAAAGTAAATTGTAACGAAAGAAGAATATTATTTGCTTCAGAAAGAATTCATCTTGAACACAGTGATAATAATCAAAGTATTAATATCGTTCGTCGCAGTCGAATATATAAACGGAATTTTAGGAGAGAAATTGTATTGTGGTGAATATATTGAATACGGTATTCAGGTGTGTTGAGAGAAATTGTAATAAATATACATTTCAAGTTTTTTGACCATTTTGAGGATTATCAGACGAACCGCATTCGAATGTGTAGGTATTTAGCAACGAAGTTGTAGGTAAATAATAATTACCAATACGCAGACCATGGCCAAAGCAGCATTATTTTTTCACTAATTTATAACGAAGTAGATCGAGAGGAGAAAAACAGTGTGTATATGTATTGTACATAAATTGTTAAGCACGTGAAGTGACGTTGGAGTCATTGAACGGAAAATTATTCTCTGCGCAAAACATTGTATCGCTATGTTATTGAAAGAAAAGGAAATGAAAAATATTGGTCTATATATATATGTGTGTGTGCGTATTATACATATATATATACACAGAGAAGAGAAAGAAAAAAGAAAAAAAGATGAACTTATTACAGTCTTGCGTAGGAATGCTTTTACAAATCGTATTTAAATAGTGTACTTAATTATCTTTATTACTATCTTTATTACTATCATTATAACAATCGCTCGCTGTTATTTATGTTACAAAAATATACAAATTGCTGTTAACATTATTAGCACAGCACCGAACTATTTTTCTTACTGGATAATTGTGCTTTAGAATTGAATTTAACAATGATACGCTGTGAGAAATATTGAAAGAGACTCATTGAAACATTTCCATGAGAGTTAACAATGCGAATGATTGTTCTGTTCATTGAAAGTTTGAATTTATATTGTCGAAAAAGAAAAAAAAAAACAAATTACTTAGTTTTTTCCAATTTATTTGTTACTCTTTTCTTTTTACAAATTGACATAATCAAATCTAAGTCTACGTCTATAAAAAAAGGGAAAAAGTACTAAAAAAAAAGAAATATTTAAGAGTATTTAATTGTTCATGCAAGATAATCTGCATTATACGAATTTTATCGTATCTCTTTACTTATACAAGAGTGTCACTTTGTTTTCCAACGATTTAAAAAAAAAAAAGAAAAAAAAACGAAAGGTATGTACAAAAGGTACGAGTTTACGATTCGTCGCTTCTATGCGATGTAAAACAGAGTTAATATATACATATATAATTATTGTTTTATACAACATTGAGAGGAATACTATACGTTACCCTCTAATTCAACTTTTCTGCCAAAAAAAAAAAAAAAAAAAAAAAAAAAAAAAAAAAATAAAATCGCGTAGATACTTTCTTGTTCATACGAAATTAAACGATGAACAGCGAAAGGAAGAAAATGAATTGTCTCGGATCATTAGTTCAATAGGGGGCGTCGTTGAGAAATTTCTGGCAATTAGAATTTTACAGCGCCGTTTATTACGGTTCCTCGAATAATTTAGAATTTCTGAAATTTTTCATAAAATTACGATGTTGTACGATCCTGTATCACGAAATTCGAATTCTGTAAGAACGTTTATAGCAACATAGGACAGCTAGTAATTGAGTAGAGAGAAAGAGAGAGAGAGAGAGAAAGAAAAAAGATGAAATTAAGTACGAACACGTTAGGCAACGTTTCTTTTCTTGTAGCAACGTTACTCGAAATTGACTTAATACGCTAGCCATTATTCCTCTACAATTGAAACTCGTTACCCAAAGACTTTTCTCTGACATCGTACTGATTGTACACGTTTCTGCGACGGAATGTACATTTTATTGCACAATAAAATTATGATGACCGATTTAAAGGGATACCATGTAATTTCACTCGTTGTACTCATCACTGTATCTCTCACGCTTGTTAGATTCAATTTACCTTAAGCGACAGATCACGAAAGATATTTGAATTTTGGAATTACGCTCTTTTTAGTTACACATACTTGACGATAGATGACGGATCAGTGAATCATTCGTAAAATGGCTGCCATCAGACGTAGAGTTTTGCTCGTGAAGTAACAAAAATTACCAAAGGCGTTTCGTTTTTAGAAAGATGACACCTTATGTTGTGTTTCTCGACAGTTATCACCCATGAGCAGCTGTTCGGACGCATAGATATCAATTGAGTATTTTTCTATCGACGAAGCCCCTCAAATGTAGTCAGTTATTATCAGATCGTTATTATGTGATCAGACTTGAGACAGAGCGCGGAACAAAAAAAAAAAAAAAAGAAGAAAGAAGCGTGCGCGAGAACTTATGTCAATTCGTTCTTAGCCACAAGCGTTGATGAATGTCTGAGAGTGATACTTACGACTCGGCGGACGAATACACAAGCCTAATGGACGGTCACGTCGCGGAGTCTCGCACGGACGACTTGGGCTTGGTCACTGGCCGAAAAAGGCGTTCGCGTATCAGCAACGAAGAGGTATTTACATAGTTACTTAATATCATTCGGACGTCACAAGTGAAAAACGACGATATCCCTGTGGGATCGTACAGTCAAAGAAAATTCTCTTGTGATCTTGTTATTGCAAATTTAACTTTACATTCTTGCCTCACATTCATATTTTCACTCAATTGTATAATGTGTACAAATTGCAGGCTGAAAATGGTCTTCCCGAGGTTCACGTTCAGGCGCCAAGTATATCAAACAATACAGGTTCAGGTAGGAGAGGTACGTCTGGTAACAGTCGCCACCGTAGATCGAGAAATCATAGAGAAGAAGAAGAAGAGGAATTAAAGTATGGGGCAGCACATGTCATTAAATTGTTTGTGCCTGTATCTCTTTGTATGTTAGTTGTAGTCGCTACAATTAGTTCTATAAATTTCTATACAACCAAAGGGATGTATTTGTAAGTATATTTCAGAGTATTTTCCGTATCTCATTTCATGCCAGATAGCAGTTGTTTTCTGAGAAAGCGGTTATTGCTTTCAGAGTGTACACTCCGTTTCATGAAGACAGTGCTGATACAAGTACCAAGGCTTGGCAGGCAGTTGCCAACTCTTTGATACTCATGAGTGTCATTGTATTCATGACTGTGATACTTATTGTCCTATATAAATACAAATTTTACAAAGTAATCCATGGGTGGTTAATAATAAGTTCCTTATTGTTATTGTCTATGTTTTCTATGCTATATTGCGAGTGAGTATCGTTGTTTCATCCATCACTTGTTACAGTCTTGATATTTTAAAAAGAAAAAAAATATCTTTTGTAGGCAAGTATTAAAAGCATATAACATTCCAATGGATTTGTTTACACTAGGCTTAGTTTTATGGAATTTTGGAGTAGTTGGAATGATATGTATACATTGGCAGGGTCCTTTGCAGTTGCAACAAGCGTATCTTATTTTTATCTCTGCTCTGATGGCGCTTGTTTTTATCAAATATTTACCAGAATGGACAGCATGGGTGGTGCTAGGTGTTATCAGCATATGGGGTAAGATAGATTTGTCACTGTGACAAACTACAAACGCATCGCAAATGAAATGTAAGTTTTTATTGTTTCCTCATTTAGATTTGATTGCTGTATTGACGCCGAAGGGACCTCTAAGAATACTTGTAGAGACCGCTCAAGAGCGAAATGAGTCTATTTTTCCTGCGTTGATTTATTCTTCTACAATTATGTACACAACCACAATGACTTACGCTGGCTATGTACAGACTGCAACGATGACTACTAGCGATGCCACTGCTGGTGATAACACGACATATACCATGCGTAATCAAGCAGATAATCAAAATAATCCTGCGTCCGGAGATGCAGAAGAGAGTGGGTTTACTCCTGAATGGATAGATACACATGGTAGTAAATAAACCTAGTGTACTGCCTATTCAGTTATTGTGACTTGCGATTTTTTTTTTTTATTATAGGCGACCGAGGAGCAAGGCGAGCGCAAGAAGTACGCGAAAATACCTTGTCTTTAACAGAGAGATCGAGGCAACAAGACAGTCGGGTTGCGCGTGAATCGCAAGGGCAGCAGGTCGCAATTACCGAAGAAGAACGAGGTGTGAAACTAGGTCTCGGTGATTTTATATTTTACAGCGTTTTAGTTGGGAAAGCCTCCAGTTATGGTGATTGGAACACTACGTTGGCTTGTTTTGTTGCTATTCTTATCGTATGTATCCCCTCTTTCATTTTACTTTTCACGTTATATTAAAATGATAAAAATTTTATCGCGAACACTTTTTATTTTCAGGGGCTTTGTTTGACACTGTTGTTGTTGGCCATATTCAAGAAGGCATTGCCCGCATTACCGATCTCTGTTACGTTTGGTTTAACATTTTATTTTGCTACGAGGGTAATCGTTGCGCCGTTTGCGGATAATTTAGCGAGCGAGCAAGTGTTCATTTAACTGTAGGTATGATAAGCATAATATTCATAATTTATTACAAAAAGGATAGTGCCTATTCGTACATTGATCGTTTAGCTTTTATATTTCATTTAAATTCGTCGTTCGTAACTTGTCATTTATAAACTTATACTACTTATTAATTGTCACGTGACATGGTACAAATTAAGATGAAAATATGCGTTATAAAAAACTGGACGATCCAGTATTTTTTAATGATAAATATTCGTTATTAAACAATATTTTACTTTAGATAGAAGTCTAGTGTCTCAAAGAAAAAAGAAAAAAAGATGCTCAAGATACAAATTTACATTTGTAAGACATTTAACAAAAGTAATAAATAATGATTGTATTTATCTGATATCTATTGCGCGTTAAGTGTCAAACAACATTTAAAATCCTTGAACGGATTTTTTTTTTTATTACAGTTTGTAGAATTCTGCTTTATAGGTTACAAGAATATTGGTCAAAAGTAATCGAGCTATGACAATTTATTGTGTGTTTTTACATTTAGAGGACATAGATCGCATAGATCGTGTATAAAAAGAAGCGGTTGATCGTTCTTTTCTTTTTTTTTTTCTTCTTAATTTTCTTCTTTTTTCTCGGAAATTGTATGAAATATGAGGTATAATGTTTGTCTAAATAATTTGCTAAATATACAGACCTCGCGGCTACAAATTACTAGTACCACTAGCCGTCCAGGACAATTCCTCGGGGTTTGAAGTCCGTTTATACACAGCCATGGAATACGTATCGTTCATCATCAATCGCGAACTTGATTATCCATTTCAATGACAATACGTATTGCTACAAGTTTCATTCGATACTAAACAACAAGGATTTAAGTGTAAGCTTCGTCAATAACATTCTTCTTACTCAGAGAATTCAAGGCAAAATGATCTGGCCGTGTAATGGAGAGACGCGATTCTTTTTTTTTTTTATATATATATTATTCTTACAATAATAGAGAGATTCTTGGGCGTGAGAAGCGTATATGTTTTCTTTCTTTTTTTTCTTTTTTCTTTTCTTTTATCGAGAAGCAGTTTCATAAATATAGCGGATAAACATTTTGCCGAGAATAGTCGATAATATCAAAGTTAGCATTTACTAACAATTCTCTCATTGCCATAAAGCATTGCATAACGATTCCAACTTTAACGTCGCTGTTCCTTTTCATTAGTTTTTTTTTTTCTTCATTTTCTTCTTTACAAACTTCGCAGCGAAACGCAGTGTATACATATACAATATATATTATATATAAATCCCCGGAACCGGAAGAACTTCAACAGCGATATGATATCATTTGCACTTCGTAAAACTATCATATAATTCAATAAGTTTGTAACTACATGCTAAGAGGAAGTTCGTTATTTTTTTCTTCTTTATTTTTCTCTCTCTTTTTCTCTTTTAATATCCAGTCGATTTTTCAGTCACGACGATGTGTAAAAGACGCTGTTCGACGAAAAAATAAACGCGATCATTTATGAAATCTAATTATTATCACGAGCATAAACGCCCGATGGTCACCGTGTGTGGTTTGTGCGCACAACAAATTATCCTTTTATATCGTGCGTATATCTTGTAACAATACTTGTCTAACTACATACGTTACTAGCGATAGACGCGGTTTCAGACTTCGATAAAATTAACAATTTTCATTCGAGAAGCGAGAAATGTACACTCGGAAAATTTCGAAGCTCCAAACGGGAGAAAAACATTAGAAAAATATTCGCAACCCCGTAACAATTGTAATCGAACAATATAATTTTAGCGACGTCATCTTCATAATGTGTAATCTTCACCGGAATTTATTAACTTTAAGACACGTTTCAGATCTTTGCTTTTCATTAAATAGAAATTTTACAATATTATTTTTTATTTTATTTTACTAGTGCTAAAAATAAAACAAATATTAAATATGCGATATATATATATATCAGTCGTATAAACAATAAACTTTTGGAAACATATTTTGGTAAATACATAATGATCATCGCAAAAAGTACTAACTATACTTTGCTAATATTTTTCCCACTTCAGCTTTTCTCCAGTTCGTCGATATAAAAAATACACAACGAATTAATATTTCCTATGCGTCTACTCGAATTTGTTCATTCTTCTATCCTCGAAGAATCGCGTGTGCTTTTCTCTCTCTCTCTCTCTCTCTTTTTTTTTAAATTATTTAACTCGTTCCGTATTTGCTGCTTTCAAACGTTCCACGTCTGAAGAACGAACTAAATTCCAGCAACGATTGCTTATCTATGTTACTTAAGTTGCCGTTGTACTTGTAGAGAGGCTCGCAGTGCGGCAATTCCGAGCAGACCTGAATCAGCCGTCGTAAATACTCCTCTAGTCGTTTCCTACGTTGTCGAGCCACAACCTCGTATCTTGGGAAAACTTGTCGTGGTGGAAAGCGTATTGCTGCTACCTGTGTAACCGAAACGTATAAAGCTATCAAACAGTTTACGAAAAATTTTCTTCTTCTCACATTTTTTAACTTCTTTTTCCTTTTTTTTTTTTTTTTTTTTTT